CTTGACTGTGGCGAGCAATATAACTTACAGAAGACATTCAAAAGGAAGTGATTTGCAGGGGTATGAAGTTTGGGGGGGAGGTAGGTAGAGTAAATGGGACTGGATGGATTCCTCTGTTAAAGAACCAGCACAGACACAATGTGCTGTCATTTTCTATGGTTCTGCAACAACAGCAGCAACAAAATTAAATTTGTATAGCGTCTTTCACATAAGGAGGACGGCCCAAGGCGCTGGGTAAAGCTGTCTGAGATGATCTGTGCTCTCTGTTCCTAATTATCCTGTCATTGAATTTTGTTTGAAACAATTAATGATGTTTCAGTGGGAAGCACAGATACCAGGGGGAAGAAATGAAGCAAAATAAAACATATTCTAGACTTAAGTAAATGGCCTTTGGGTTAGGGGAACGAATTGCCACACGTAGATGTTTTGGGGAGATACTTTTATGTACCACAGAGCAGCCGAGCACTGAACTAAGGCTTTGACTCACAGAGGCCTGAAATTCCATCTAATCTTGCCTGTAAGACCATTTTGTCTTAAAATCTTGAATTTTAAACACAACTGTTTGTGGGACATTGCTGTGCGCAATTGGTTGCCACATATCAGCTACAAAACACACACTATTTTGTGAAGCACTTTGACATGCCTCAATGACATGATAAGGAGCTATATCAAACACAAAGATTTTTTATTACTTTAAGATTTCTCAAAATTATCGGAAAATTCTTCACTTTGAACTTAATTTGGGCGTTGGCTTTTTTTTACGAATTGCTGAAAACCGACACCCAAGTTAAAATGACCTTAAGAATTATTTGCAATCTTGCAATATCTTAAATTTGAAACCACCCAGTATCCCTGTTGGCTAAGAGTATGCAGATTTTTGAGCTCCCAGCAAAGCCCAGCTGGAGATATGAAAGGATTGCGGGGGCAAGTGAACAGAACTGGGCAAGAATAGGCTTGAGTTAGATGAAGTCAGAGCGTGGTTCATTAGGCAGGTGGTGAGGAATACAGTTTAAATGAGTGCCTTGAGTGTAATATTACAATAAAACCCATGTTCTGTGCATTAAAGGAACACAAACCACGACTGTTTAAGGACTAGAAAATACAGACACTGGTTCATCAATATCACTTCTATTTGGTCACTATATCTTGCATGGAGGAGAGATAACCACTGCCGCGCACAACTGGTCTATGATATAAGAGGTGTTCGTCATCGGCAATTGCTTAAAATGTCTAGAGATGGGCCCTGTTCCTGGGATCTCTTTGGGAGTCCCACCATTTTAATTGCCTTTTCTTCAGATAACCTATATGGATTCAAGAGTTTGCTGGGAGAAGGCGAGAGAGGGATGGGGTGTAAGGGTGACCTCTGAGTAAGGGTTCATTGGTATGCAAACCAGGCTGTCCTGGCTATTCCAAGGTGGTTGTTAACAAGGGTGGTTGCTCAATGGAGATGGTTTCTTGAACACGTTTGACTGTATATGCATTGTTTATGCAATTGTCCACCTGTATTGCTGCTCTTAAAGAATCTCAATCTATAGATCTGCTCCTCTCCCCTTAGGTTCAGGTTCTTACTGTCCATTGTATAAATGGCTTCTTTATTCCTCCAACCAAAATTAATCTCTTCACATTTCTGTATATCCAACTTTATCTGCCATTTCTCAGTCCATTCTGCAATCCTCTTTATGATTTCCTGCATCTTTCTAATTGTTTGAAATGTGCTGTACAGTAGGTAAGATCAGAAGAGTTGGTTGACTTGTGTACAAACAGTTGTCAGACTTGGGCAAGAATAGTTGTCAAATTAATGGCGTAGAAAGGGTTGCAGAGAGATCAGTGCAGACTCCATAGGATCAGCTTGGGTTGGGAGAGAAAAACATCAACTTGCTTTCTGCTCATCATGAATTCACTTTATTTCCAATATTTCTAGACAGAATTCTTAATTAAGAAAAAGTCTTAAACAAGAAGTTTTTTGGTTAAAAAAGATTTCTTAATTTAGAAACCCAGAAATCCATGACACATACTCAGGGCAGAACCTTCAAAGCCCGCCACAGTCTTGCTCCCCCCTACTTCTGCGACCTCCTAACCCCTTACCATCCTGCTCGCTCCCTCCGCTCAGCGGGCTCCGGTCTGCTTCACATCCTCCGTCTTGCTCGCCCCACTGTTGGTGGGCGGGCCTTCTTTCACTCTGCCCCAACCCTCTGGAACTCCATCCCACAGTCCCTTTCCCTCACCCCCTCCTTCGCCACCTTCAAGACCCATCTCAAGACCCTCCTCTTCGACCATGCTTTCGATTTCTCAATTTTTCTTGAAATTGCCCCTTTAAAACCCGAAACCAATGTCCTTTTGTTCTGATACACTGAGAGAATTATACTGGGTTTACTTTCCCTCTCGTTCCCATTTAAAATCTACACACTTTACAATACATTGCAGTTTATACTTGTATAGCAACTTTCACATCGGGAGGATGTCCCAAAGCTCTCGAGAATTTACTAGGCACTGGAGCTGGGAGTGAGAGCTGGGGGCAGTCAAAGAGGTATGCTTTGAGATGTACCTTGAAAGAGGGGAGGGAGGGAACACGTCGGAAGGACCTGGTAATGGAGTTCCAGAGACCTCTACAAGGTTTCCATTGGGAGAATCACATTCAAGGCTCAATTTGTCATTCAATCCACCCAGAAGTGGGCAATTTTTGACGCGGGATCCAGCCAGCATGCGGAAGTGAGCCAGCTGGATGCATGCATCCGCAGTGAATGAGATCCATACCCCACATACTGTGTAATAATAGGATTCTACTGTATTATGCACAAATGGATAGGTCATCTTTTCCATGAGTCTAGCTACCTGGGTTCACTTCCTCTTCATAATCCACTGATAGAAATGACGGGTGATACGTTCTGTGGGTTAAATTGGTTTTATTCCTATAATATTTTTCTGAATTCAGCTGAAAACACAGTTTTTTCTGATTACTACTTTCTGCTCTCTGTTTTGCAAGACAGCATGGAAAATAATAATAATAATCATGATAATCCTTGCATTTGATATTTTAGCACAAACATCTAAAGCCATGAATCCCTGGTTCCTGGCTTCCATTTAAATGCCTAAAATTTGCACTGGGCTCAAGCAAATTTGCATTGGAAGTCAATTTGGTCCAACATTTAAATTTGTGCAGAATTTATTTGCCTGCAAAATACAGTCAATTTTTTCCTTTGCAAATACTTACACTTTACTGTGTAAGTCCTAACCCTCCAGACGTGAAAAGTATTATATCAAATGGAGAGAATGTACACTATAGGAAGGATATCAAGGCCTTGGAGAGGGTGCAGAGGAAATTTATCAGAATGGTACAAGGAATGAGGGACTTTAGTTATGTGGGGATACTAGAGAAGCTGGGATTGTTCACTCAGAGCAGAGAAGGTTAAGGGGAGATTTAATAGAGGTGTTCAAAGGTTTTTGATAAAGTAAATAGGGAGAAACTGTTTCCACTGGCAGGTGGGTCAGTAACCAGGGGACATAGATTCAAGATAATTGGCAAAAGAAGCAGAGGGGAGATGAGAAGAAAATGTTTTACGCAGAGAGGTACAGTCTGGAAAGTACTGGCTGACAGGGTGGTGGAAACTGATTCAAAAACAACTCTCAAAAGGGAATTAGTTATGTACTTGTAAAGGACAAATTTGCAAGGATATAAGGAGTGGGACTGATTGGGTAGCTCTTTCAAAGAGCAGGCATGATGGGCCGAATGGCCTCCTTTTATGCTGTAATATTCTATGATTTTATGATTATTAGGATTATAATTATGCAAAATTCTTAAATTCAGTTTTTCTTTGGAAGCTGTTTTTATGCGGTTCTTAAGAAGGAACCAGTTTCCAAATTAAAACACAATTAAGAATGAGTGGAGTTTTAAGCTGTTTTAGACATATCAATGAACAAGAATGGATAATTCAATATAGCTCCACTTTTTTTTATGTACATTTTATCTGAAATTTTATACTTACAGCCCAACCCTTGATATTCAATGAGGTAAAATGGATTTCAGGCTAAATTTTTCCCCATTTTGACACCTGCACGCGTCTTATCTGTAAAGTCCCCATAGCACTTTTTGAAAAGAGAAGAGAGTTTCATCCTGGCTAACAATCCCCTGGGTGCAAAATTCATCATTCACGTGTTTGTGGAACATTGCTATAGCCAAATTGACTACCACGTTCTCTAACAAATATACAGTCGCTCCAGATATAACTGTTTTAGCCTGCTTTGTAGAGAATGGCTTTTGAGTGTGCATTTATAGGTCACCAATTTCCACCCAGCAAAATCTCACAAACAGCCGAGAAGTTGATAACCAATTAATCTGCAGTAATAATAATCCTTGCATTTGATATAGCACCTCATCACATTGTTGAGACATCTCAAAATGCTTCACAGAATATACTGCAAAGTGAATTGCCTGTATATTTTGGGGGTGAAACGCAGCAGTCAACTGCGCACAGCAGTGTCCATAAACAGCTGTGGATTGAGTGACTATATTATTATTTTTTTAGTGCCAATCGACTAACATCCAGTTTCCTTCTTACTGCTAGGTAAATAGTATTGTTGTACTTTTTACCTAGCAGTATTGGCCAGTATTGTATTGCCAGTATTGACGTCCTCCCGACGTGAAAAGCGCTATATCAAAATGCTATCTCATTCCAAATAGTGTCACTGCATCTTCAGAGCCACCTGGAGAGGCAGTTGGGATCTTGGTTTAATGTCTCATCCAAAAGACAGCACCTCTGATAGTGTAGCAATCCTTCAGCACAGTATTGAACAGTTATCCTAGTCTGTGAGCTCAAAATTGTGATGTGAAGCTCGAACTCATATCCTTCAAGCCTGAATTCAAGAGAATTGCCTAATGAGCCAAGCCAATATACAACAACAGCAAGATTACATTTATACAGCGCCTTTCACGTTGGGAGGACTTCCCAAGGCGCTGATAGTCAAGTTAATGTCAAGTTAAGTCAAGTTAAATTATTTCTTACCTTCAGTGAATTTTTAATCAATTTCCTCACTACCTCCTTTATGCTGGGACAGTCATCACGAGGTGGGTGAAAGCGTAGCTCGATTTGAGTTTGGTTCTCCAAGCCTTTTATAACCTGAGGCCATCCCAAGTCTAGATCCGGAGCATCTGTGTCAGACTCAATAGGCCAGTAGGTGCCTGAGGAACTGTTGTCAATAATCCCCTCCGACTGGTAGATTGAGGTCACTGGAGATAGCTTTTGAGCATTGTCAATGATGAACTGAACTTCTTCATCGGCCAGGAATTTGCCCAGCCTTTCCTTCACTAGGAAATCTTCAAAGGCAGATACACCTTCATCGACCAACTTATCGATAGCAATGCGGTACCCTTCTTTATAGTGAGGCTCGACATAATCCTCAGACCTGAACTGGTCACCCAGGGAAGAGATGTGGGACGAGATGTGGGAAGAGATGTGGGAAGGGATGTGGGAAGAGTAGTTCATGTTTGAAGAGTTTAGCACCAATCACCTTGTTGAACTGCTATCCCAGTTTGTACCTAGTTAGGAGGGTGGGGAGGAGAAACAAAAACATCTCCATTATGATTCAAAATGGTGGATGAATTAAACAATAATACAGATCTGTCACTATCCGACTCACACTCTGGGGTTCCCAAGCCTCGGATCTTGCAAACCTGCGCCTAATACTTTCCATAATTAGGTAAGCAGGGTGCGTCCCTTCAAGGAGAGAGTTTGAATTCCATTCCAACAATCTATCTCTGGTTTGCACAATCTTAAACGTGGTGAATGAGTTTCTGTAAGTTTCAGATACCTGGCTGACCAAATAATACTATCATTGCACTCGACCTGTTTCTTACGTTGTCACGTCTCACTTGCATTTAATGTGGCGTCTTTCACACCGGGAGGATGTCTCAAAGTGCTTCCAGGATTTTTCTGCAAAGTGTAGTGACTGTGCATTTTGTAGGTGATATGATAACAATCATTTCATTTCAAATCAATTATGTTTGAGAGGTTTATTTTTGTGTAAAACACTTATAAATGCAACGAATATCCTTCTTGTGGGGGCGCTGGGTGCAGCAGAGGGAAGTAAGTGGGGCATCCTTGAAACTGAGATTGCAGAGATTCCTCCCACTCAGCTCCTATTAACTCTACATGCCAAAACCTTAACAGGAAGGGTGGTCCTAGTTGACAAGCAATGGGAACCAGAGAGTGCTTTCAATGGCCAAGCCATGTGGTTTTAGCCGGTTGAACTCCAGCAGATACCATGTGTAGTCTTAGTTCTTATCAACCTGCACCTAGTACACTTCAAATTAGCTAAACAGGGCCTGTTCCTCCGGGTAGAGAGTATGAATTGAATTCCGTACCCAGGAAAATGTCCACGATATGGGTTACATTCATATGTGGAACTCTCAATTTGGTTTGGTTAGTCTTAAGCATGGTGATGTGTTTCTGCAGGTGTCAGATACCCAGCTTGACAAAAAAGGAAGTCATTATGATTATTATTATTATTATGAAATGTAACACAGTTCCGTTTAAATAGAGCAAACACAAACTAAAGGGAGGAATGTATAGTTCAGTGCTGATAATACAATGAGCAGCAATCTCTCAATGCTCAAGCCAAACAGCTCCGACAAGCTGTATTCCAGATTGATGATAATAACAATAATAATAATCCTTGCATTTAATATAGTGCCTTATCACGTCTTCAAGACATCTACAAGTGCTTCATAACATACTGTAAAGTGAATTACAGTATATGTAGAGTCCTGTAGCTCAGCAGTTAGAGCACTCGCCTCACAAGCGAGAGACTTTGGTTCGATTCCCGGCACGGCAAAATGGTGGGCAAGTTTCTTTACTCCACATGCCATTGTTTACCTAGCAGTAAGTAGGAACCCGGCTGTTAGTTGATTGGCGGATCACTTTTCCGGGATAATAATTCCTTCAAAAAAATAACAATAATAATAATAATAATTTGGTTACTTCAATCCACGACTGTTTGTGGGACAATGTTTGTGCAATTGGCTGCTGCGTTTCGCCCACAAAATGCAGTCCATTCACTTTACAGTATATTCTGTGAAGTGCTTTGAGACGTCTCGAAGACGTGATAAGGCACTATATCAAATGCAAGGATTATTATTATTATTAATTGACTGTATATTTTGTGGACGAAACACAGCAGCCAATTTCACACGGCAGTGTCCTAGAAACGGTCGTGGATTGAATGACCAAATTATTTTTTTTGAGGGTCAGCAGGGTGTCTGACACATGCGGAAACCCTTCACCATGCTTAAGAGTATCCAAACCAATCTGAGAATGCCATGAATCCCACCTACACATGAAAATATCAGATGGAATGTGCACTCTTTCCCTGGAGACACGCATTCTGCTTACCTAACATAATGTTTTTAAAGCAATAACGTCTCACAACTGTGTCATACATGGGGTGGTGGGGGGAGGATGGTATTTGGTGCAAAACTGAACAGAAACAAAGAACAATCGGTAACTTTAAAGCAACAGTATGAAGTGTGTTAATAATAATAATCCTTGCATTTGATATAGCGCCTTATCGCGTCTATGAGATGTCTCAAAGTGCTTCACAGAATATTCTGGAAAGTGAATTGACTGTATATTTTGTGGGCGAAACATAGCCGCCAATTATACACAGCAGTGTCGTAAAGACAGTCGGGGATTGAGTGACCAAATTATGTTTCTTGAAGGATTTTTAACCCGGGAAAGCGATCCGCCAATCGATTAACAGCTGGGTTCCTACTTACTGCTAGGTAAACAGAGCCGTGTGGAGTAAGGAAACTGCCTGGGAATCGAACCTGGTTCCTCTCACTTGCAAGAGGACAGCAATACACTACAGGATAACAATGCATATACACATCGAGAGCTGTACAGGGTGAAATATACAGGGTTACAAGTAACTGATTTGAAGTCGTACTTACTTTGTGCGAGAGGTTTGGCCCTGGTTGTAGCTGGCCTTTACTTTGCCTATCGCTTCGCTAGGCACATTGAAACAATCTGTCCAGCTTTCCTCAAGTAGTGTTCTCACTGACAAGTTCCTAACTGATAAGTTGCAGCAGCAACATAAGAAGGTGTATGGCACACAGCACAGGGTGTGGAAACCAGTTTGAACATGTAACCTGTGTGTGTGTGTGTGTGTGTGCACCAATACTTGGCCCAGAGTCAAACAAAATGCAAACCTGTTTCTTTTGAACGCACCACCCTTTTTATTATTGGGAGGGAGATGGTAGGGGGGGTGGTGGCGGGTGACTAGGGCAAGGTCTAAAGTGCCTTTTACGAGGGGTTGTGTTTTGGGGTGCTTAAGTGTAAATACTTCCCAGCATGTCCACCTGTGACATACCCTTGATTCACTTTACTCTCAGGGTTTCACTCTCTGTAGACTTTGGTAAATCATTGGTGGGATTAGCAGGTTCCATCTGCTGAAACCTGATATCCGCCTTGTCCCTGCCCTGCGTGGGTGACTGCATTGCTCCTCTCTTGTCTTCCGTGAGTAACCTCACTGGGATTCAGGGAAACTGGTTTCATTCAAACAAATGATGTGTGAGAACTTCACACTCCTCCCCCACCCCTCCCCACCACCACCTTTGGGCTTTGTCACATCACATATTCTTTGCTACTCAACTGAACTGCAGTTTGTGTTTACGACCGAGCCTTGTGGCTGTAGTATAAAGCTTTTATGTTTCTTTTCAGCACCTGAGTTCAGCACTTTATTGCTTCATCACCAAGAAATACAAATGCACAGTTGTTACAGTGAAATCCTGTGAAGCGCTTTGAGACGGCTCGATGACGTGATAAAATGCAATATCAAATGCAAGGATGATTATTATTATAATTATTACTATTATGATGATATTAAACACCACTTCATGGGTAATCGCTAAACATGGCAGACAGTTTTGAACACAGCAAGGTCTCACAGACAGTCATTAAGTGAATTACCAATGTATCAGGACAGAAACCTAGGAGAAACTCTCTTTTGCTTTTTGAACATTATCCGCGGATCTTTAATTTCATTTGGTAATATGTTAATTGGTGAATGCGGCCATTTCACATCCCCATATCCTGTTTAGTTCAGAGAGTTTCAATGCGGATTCCTTTATAGCTGCACCACAACAACAACTTGTATTTATATATTTCTCCAGTAGAGTAATGTCTCGAGAGACAAAACTGGACAAGGAGCACAGAGGAAAGTGGGGAAATAGGAACCTAGGAACAGGAGTGGACCATTTAGCCCCTTGAGCCTGTTCTGCCATTCTGATAGATCATGGCTGATTTTTACCCACCTTTGCCTCATATCCCTTGATACCCTGACCTAACAAACATCTCAGTCTTAAAAAAATGAATGAATCCAGCATCCACAGCCTTTTTGGGGGAGAGACTTTGGAGTTTCAACTACCTTTTGCATGAAAAAATGTTTCCTGATTTCACTCCTAAATGGCCTAGTTATGATTTTAAGATTGTGCTCCCTTGTTCTGGATTCCCTCACCAGAGGAAATAATAATAATCCTTGCATTTGATACAGCGTAATTTCTCTGTAGCTATTCAATTGAATTCCTTTATTATTTTAAACACCTCAATCAGATCACCCCTCAACCTTCTAAACTCAAGTGAATACAGACCAAGTTTATATAACCTGCCATTACAATTTGACCCTTTAAGCCTTTGGCATCAGATTTTGGTGAATCTGCAAAAAAGAAGGAAGCTAAATATGAGCACAGTCTAAGAGGTAATTCTTCAGGAGTTGTTTAAGAACAGATAGAGGAGGTAAAATGCAGGGATTTAGGGAAGGAGTTCTAGCGGGTTGGGGTATAGTAGTTGAAGACTCGGTTGATGATGGTGGGGTGAAGGGTGGAGGAAAGCACAGTTGACTGAGTTGGCTGAGTAGAGGGGGTAAGTGAGAGGGTGAGTGAGGTTGTAAAAACATCCTTTGAAACAAATTTTGATCAATAAACTAAAAGCCTAATGTTTACTGACTGCCTCAGTTTAAGACATCATCCCAAAGTGAAAGGCTCGCGATATGTGTTAATTGATTTTTATTGTTAGCCTGAGTTTGATCTTTTGCATCTATGTAAACAGTGCATATCACAGAATGAACTCAGGAGGAGCAAAGTTTGCAGTAACTGAGAAATCTACTTGAATTTGATATAGCACCTTATCACATCATTGAGATGTCTCAAAGTGCTTCACAGAATATATTGCAAAGTGAATTTACTGTGTGTATTGTGGGCGAAACGCAGCAGCCAGTTTTGTGCACAGCTATGCCTCACAAATAGCGATGGAATGAGTGACCAATTTTATATTTTGGGGGAGTTTGGCCAGGACACCTTTTTGAATAGCGCCATGGGATCTTTATCGCCACCTGAACAGGCAGGTGGAACCTCAGTCTAATGTCTCACCCGAAGGACAGCACCTCCGATAATGCAACGCCCCCCAGCACTGCATTGGAGTGTCAGCTTAGACAATGTGATTCCAAGTCCTGACATGGGACCTGAACCCACAATCTTCTGACTCAGAGGTGACAGTGCTACCACGACAGCAGACTGACACATACCCTATTGAGGGCACTCGATAAGCAGTAAGGCAGACAAGAGTGAGTCAGTGACAGGTGCCATAACTGCCTGAAATCAAAGCAAAAAGGAAAAGGTTAGAGAGCATGAGTAAGAAGCACATCCAGCTGAAATAATAAACATCAAAAGCTAGGATGAAATAGGCTGGGGCAGTTTCCCATGTTCAAGCATTCAGAAGCAGACTAACAGGTCTAATGGTGACCACAAACCAGCTTTGGTAACTCCATTACGACAAACCTGTTGTAGGTCTGGGATGGGGAGGTGGGTGGCTAACTTCTTAGCACTGCCTCAGTTAATTGAATTTCAAAGGTGTTAATAATAATGATTCTTGCATTTGATATAGTGGCTTATCACATCTTTGAAATATCTCAAAGCGTTTCGCAGGATATATTGTAAAGTGAATTGACTGCATATTTTGTAAGCAAAACTTGGCAGCCAATTGCACACAGGAGTGTCCCACAAACAGTCGTGGATTTGGTGACTAAATTATTATTTTTATTTTTTTTTTTTGAAGGGATCATTAGCCCCAGAAAAGTGATTCACCGATCAACTAACAACCAGGTTCCTACTGCTAAGTAAACAGAGGTGTTTGGAGTAAGGAAACTTGCCTAAGGTTTTGCCCTGCCCGGGAATCAAACCCGGGTCCTCTCGTCTGTGAGGCGAGTGCTCTAACCAATACTCTACAGGACTCCACATTCTGAAAGTTTGTCCTGAAATTGCCCTTTACAACTCTAAACCTAAGTCCTCTTGTTCCACTGTCTTCTTGGATCCTAAAACATTGTCTGTGGTCTTATTTTTTAATTCCATTTAAAATTGTATACACCTATGAGGTCCCTCTGAGTTATCTTCTAGGTGAAGATAAGGGAGTGCTTGGATGTGAGGATAAGGGTGAGGACCTTGAACAAATACCTGCTTCTTCCAGTGAAAGTCAGTCGGTAAAAATGTATTGTCTTCCGAAATTCATCTGAAAAAAATTAACCATTATTTTCTGTTCTGCTTGAGCATCAGTTTCCAGGCGATATGTGCACACCACAATGTGAATCCAGTCATGTGGACTTTCCTAGTGTTCAAAGTACAGTTGATTTAATACTGTATTGAACTTTCTACAGTATAAAAATAGAAAACGTCAACAGTGTCACATGTGTTTAAGGTGAGGAGGATTGGGAAGCAATTATGGGAATGTCAGCTGACTTAATAGGTACAAGTATGCCCTGACAAGTATCACAAGCTCATAACTACAGACCCCGTGAGTCAGGCAGATAGATACAGTACTGACGCACACAGACACACATACACACAGCCAAGGTCATAGTTCTGTGGTTGTCATCTCAGGCTCTGTCACCTTCCTTGAATATAGGAACCACATTTGTTTGCTTCCAAATTGCTAGTCATAATCCTTACATTTGAAATGGCACCTGTAAATGTTGAATGTCTCAAAGCACTTGACATGTAATTCTGGCAAGTTTCATGACAATGTATTTGTAGTTAAGTATGATAGCCATGGACAGTTATTTTATCTGAAATATTATTGGCCAGGACAACTGGCATTTAAAAATGCCCACCTTGGCTTAACAACCCATCCAATGGACAGCATCTCTGACAACGCTGCACTGGAATTTCAGCTTAGATTGTGCTCTGGCTGTTTCAAAGCACAATCCTTTCAGCCGCAATAGGCACTTTAATCAGCAGGACTTAGAAGGACAGACCAGTGACTCAGCTCTTGTTAACCCTGGAAGCCAAAGCCCTCGTGGGTAGGGTGGTGGGAGTTGGACAAGCAGCGGGAAAGCTTGCCATGCAGTGATCTCAATGGCAAGCTATGCGGTTTTAGCTGGTTAGACTCCAGCAGTTACTTCAACGCACACTCTGGGGTCCCCAAGTCTTCGCTCTTGCCAACCTGCGCCTAATGCGAAATAGGTAACCAGGATGCTCCCTCCAGGGAGAGAGTGCGCATTTCATTCCAACAATCTATCTCTGGGATTTCCGTATGTAGGTGGGAACGCATGGAAATCTTAGCTTGGATACCCTTAAGCACAGTGATGTGTCAAACACCTGGCTGGCCAAAAAATAAATCTCTAAGGCACTGGGATAATACTCATAATGCTGGTAAATTTTGTATCAGTTTGTTTACCATTGAAGAGCAATTCAACACTTCAGACAATAATAACACTTGTCATCACCATGTGGTTGACTTGGATGCAATAATGTGATTTATGTTGAAACACGTCATTCAAATATCCCGGTGTCATTTCTAATTGACGGAACCAAAACTTAGCTATTCCAGGGTGGATCAAGGGAGAGGTGCAGATGAAGAAAACTCTGAATAACTCTTTGATCCCATCCTGTCAGAATAACAACAACAGCTTGCATTTATATAGCACCCTTCACGCGGGGCAGCATCCTGGAGCACTTGA